CCCCCCCCCCCCCCCTTGATCATTGGGAGAGGATTGGTTTTGTGACGAAGAATCGATTTTCTGACATCTCTTCTTCTCATAATATTGAGAAAGTTTTAGTCTTTTCCCGTTTGAGTAACCTATGAACTGGTCGGAATCATTGAAGGTTTTCCAGTTCTCTGAAAAGCTGAAGTACTCCAGGAATTTAAACTTAAATACTTTTAAGATGATTGCGCTTCTTTCTTTCCGAAGACATGGACGAAAATTATTCATGAAACCTGTTCGTCAGCTTCAGAACTTAATAGTCCCGTTGTTTCTTGGGGCATATCCGGGCTTGTATGTTAGGTTGACAGCTTCAAAGTGAAGCAAAGGGGAATGAGATAATCTTGCCAATTTATAACCTTTAGCAAAGCAGGTTTGAATCATCATCATCCCACTTTGGGCTGAGACAGAACTGTTGAGCGAATATCCAATGAACTCAGATTCCTATCTTGTGGTCTCCTTGAATCTGTAATATATAGATGGAGCAGTTGGAAGATTACTTTTTTCTCTCTTATTGTTGGAATCTTATGTTTAGGTTATATGAGGTTGGTAACTGGATTATAACATTCCTCAATATCACATCACTCTGCAGATGACAACTGTCAAAGTTAGCAACGTTTCTTTAGGAGCTTCGGATCGGGACCTCAAGGAATTCTTTTCCTTTTCTGGTGACATTGTTTACCTCGAGTCACAGAGGTCAGTTTTCTTTCTGTTTCCTCTGCAGTCGTGATCTGAACGTATTACATTAAATCCTAAATTCTTGATACATATCTGCAGTGAGACTGAACGGTCTAAGGTGGCATATGTCACCTTCAAGGATCTGCAAGGAGCCGAAACCGCTGTTCTCCTTTCGGTATTTCACTTCTCAGCTTATCCTAATCCCAATATAACGTTTGCTATCTTTGAATTCACGCGCATAAATTACTTGAAATTTGAACAAGCATGTGCATGTTCATCTTGCCTTGTATGAATAGTCCCTAAAATCTCATTTACTGTGGTTCCGGGATAATTTGCTTTCAGGGAGCCACCATTGTTGATTCTCCTGTTACGGTCACTATGGCCCCGGATTACCAGCTACCTCCCGATGCTTTAGCTACCTCTGTAAGTCCTCAATCCTGTCTCAGCCTTAACCATCAACAGATTCCGGTCTTGATTTTCTACTCCTGGTGTCTCACAGGAAACAAAAGACAACAAATCTCCACGGGCAGCTGAATCTGCCCTCAGAAAGGCTGAAGACGTTGTCAGCAGCATGCTGGCAAAGGGCTTTATTCTAGGGAAA